TCTTTAAGAAACATAATTAAAATGCAAACACTTTCTTTCTTTGAGTGGCATTGCAACGCATGCTGGGTACTTGCTAGTACATTAATAAAAACATATGTGCACACATACATAGATAAATACTATACATCAATATTGCATAAAAATTCGTATACATACTGTAAATGTTCAGTTTTTAGTGTTCTCATTTATAGAGAGCATTGCGCTTTTAAATACTTTTCATACTATATTAATTTTGCTTTTCTTTGTAACTGGATGGCAAATACTTTTGACTGCTAAATAATTTTTTTTACTATAACGAAATATATTACGCGTTTACTTTGTGTTCTTTGTGAGAAATACTGCTATGAAGATGTGAGAGACATACATTGTTAACTTTCATTGTTCAACATAATATTTGCATCTCTTTTCGGGGCTTGATAGGGCCAACTTGATCATTGGGTGACTTTCTAAATACCTTGCATTTTTTTCCTTGATTAATGCTTTGGCTGTTTTGTAATAACTTTATCTTCTGCAGATTGACAAAAAAGGAGAATAATAGTAATAAAGTTTTTTTGAAAATCACGATTTATCCCCAATGGCTCGAAGAATAACGGTGATGAAAATAATGTGTAGAGCAAATTTATAAACAAGCTATAAACTTAAATTTCTTAAAAATTATAACATTACCATTGTTTTCTTTTTAGGGGGATTACAACTGGGGTTCCTCCCATCACCCCCGTACGCAAGTGGTCACTATGAAACTTACAAACTTAAGGTTTGTGTAACATTCTCTGTCATTTTATAGCTATGTATTGATAATTGTTAAAAAAAAAAAAAATGTATTCTTTGCTCTAAATAAACTATTTTACAACAAAATGTACATTAAAGCTCACATTTTTAATAATATATTTTAATTGATAAAAGATTTTTAAAATAAAGCACATATTCTTCAGTAGAGAAATCCAAATACATTATGCATTTAAATTAAAATATATATTTTTACATATATTAGAAGTTATCAGTAACTACGATGACCCCACCATTAACTTCTCAAAACATTTTTTTAAATTTTGTATACGCCATTCTTACTTTGGGGCACATTAACTTGGATATCTTTATATAAATGTAACTGTATTAAAAATGTTTAGTCCCAGTTAAAAAGTTCACTGTAGTACAAATATTAAAGAAACAGGCTAAATCTCAATGTGCATAATCATAACTTATTAAGTAAAATAATACACATTTATAAATTTACCTTTTTGTTCACCAAAGTTCTTATTTTCATCAGTTTGAGAGGCTTCATTAGAAACAGTCGAATATGATGTAAAAACAGTCGAATATGATGCTAAAAAACGTAGTTTATTATTATTGTGAAACTTAAGTTTAAAAATTGCTTGCCTTTATTAAACATACGTGATTACAATGATTTCATTTTTAAATAATACTTAATTAGCATTTGAATAAATAAAATACATCAATGTGTTATTTTATTTCAGTTAAATGAAAATGATACATAAAACATTAAATCATTAATTTTAAATTTCATATAATTGTTTTTTAATTAAATTAAAATATATTTAATAGAAAATGTGACAAAATGTTATCAGGAAAAATATGGATAGGCACTTCGTGATAATTTCTACCTGCTATGACGAAAACTAATCATTATTCCTTTTTTTAAAAAGAAACTTATTAAAATCTTTATGTTTTGAGAAGATGTTTTTCTTCTAGATATTATGTGTTTACCCTTTACCCTTTCCACGAATTTAAACTAAAATGTTTTCTCTAGATATTACCTTAAATTACATAAACTAAATTATCACTAATTAAATCATTATTGTCACTAAATGAGTTAATTGACGGTTGATTTTATCTATATACAAATACTTTAGATGTCTTGGATTTTTAAAGTTTCTATGTTCGGTCTACCCTACCACTTTTTAATTGCTCCTGACATATTTGTTTAAACTTAAAATTGTGAAAGCATTATTTACAATTTACAAGAAAAATTATATCTACATTTTTAAAATATTAATTTGATATATTGATACCTTCATTAAAATATTAAACACACTTTGGCTTGTTTTTTAAAGATATTATTGGCAAATCGTAAAACAAAAAATTGTTTTGCTTTTATAAGTATGCCGCAACAGTTTCATTTCTGTATTAGCTTGAGTGCTGTTACTTTTTTTTTTTCATTTAAAGAAATCTTATTAATCTCACATTAATAAACACTTGAAATTATAACATTTTAACCCACTTCCTTCACACTCATACAATTTTAAATTTAAAATTTAAATTTTCTTTTTTTTTTTTTTAAATTTAACACAAATAAATATTTTCACTTATGTAAAATAATTGGGTTGTGCTAATCACATGTATATCTATGAACTTGTACACATGTTTGTCAACGCCATTGATTTTCCTTACTGATTAATATAGGTTAATGTGTAAATAGCGAATGTAATTCCTCTTTTTCTGGACTGTAATATTATTATGTTTGAAGATATTGTAATCAACCTAAAAATGTGCACACCCTATTCCCTTTCCCTGATACAGATGTAGCTAAGAAGCTTATTTTTTTATTTTTTTTTTTTAAAATTAAGGCCTTTATACTGAGGCGTAAGCTGTTTTCAAGGGGCAAAAAAGTAAAGTATCGAATCACCTTCATCCAAAGTTTAATTTTTTAAAATTTTAATTAATCCACAAGGAAGTCAGTAGTCCTCTAAGTACGCAAATACACACCATTTTTGCATGTCACTGAGAGTAATTAAAATTCTTAAGACCCAAATCCATATTACCACACATCGTTTTAATATTGTATGAACAATTAATAATTCTACGCATAATTTCGTATATTGAAAATATGATGTTTATATATTTTAATATGAAAAATTATATCAATGTTCAAATTTGTCACATGATTGTGTTTTGAAATATTGATATCAAAATGAACCAATAGCAGCTTCATATGTTTTTTTTCCTCTTTTGGAGAAGTGATAAGTTAATTAGTGAATGCTATTTGGCTGTGAATTGTCGCTGCCCTACTTGACTTAAACTACATATTTTTGTTAAGTTATTTTCAGAAATTATTTTTTATTACTTTATATTTAGGTTCAAAGTATATTTTCGAATGAACAATTAGAATAATCTTATTTAATGTTAAAATACATTTTAAAAACATAGTGTGTTTATAAACAATTTAAAAGGCAATAATTTAAATTGATTAAAATTTACTTTTAAAAATGGGAAAACATTATCAGTTTTCTTACATGCGTTTATTAAAGCATAGAGACATATAGATTTTTACTTGAAAGTTTAAATGTTGCTCTCACTCTCATTAACTAAAATGTTGTTTTTTCCTTTAACTGAGTTAACTCGAAAATATAAAATTGATTTTGTTCGAAGATATTTAATTTAGATCAAATATTGTTCAAAATAATGTTGCAATAGTCACAACGTACACATTAAAAAACATCGGGTTTTTTTGGGGGGTTTTCTCGATAAAATTTATGTGATATGAATTTAAAATAATTTAGACACTAATGTATTGCTATTAAAAAGATTACATTAAGTTTATATTGGGTTAAAATTCTTAAAACAGTCTTTAATCATTATTTTTAATGTTTCTCTTCTTTATAAAAATATTTTTTTACACTTATACTAAAATTAAAAGCGAATATGTTTTATACGTTGCACTTTTAAATTGATTCGATTTTCGTAAAATAATAGAAAATAACTGATAGTGTTTTAAAAAATTCAAACTGATTTAAATCATTTGATTCTTTATTGTTACATGAAAACCCTAGCTAATTATTTTTAATTTATATATAACTCCTCAACTACTGGTCTTATAATAACTATATTCAAACTAGAATTTTATTTTTAGACAATAATGTGATCAATTCACCTTCTGTGAAATATTTATAAAATAATTACATAAAATGTGAGTAAAAAACGTTTTTCTTGTTCCATGATGCGGTTCATAAGATATTATTATTCAGTATATCATTAAAAAAATTATATATATATTGGGTTCGTTTTACTAAACATTTTAAAATAAATCAAAATATCAAATAATACAATTTTTAAAGATGATTAAATTTCTTTTTTTTTTAAAATAAGTACTAAAATTGTGGCAAGAGGTGCATTTTATTTAATGATACTTTATTAAACATTTAAGCTAAACAATAATTAAGTAATGTCCCAAAAAAGTCATGAAAGAACATACCTCTACAGAAATACTGGAATAATTAAAAATGTAAATATTGAAAAGTTAATTACCAGAATGTTTCAATATTTTATAGCATCGTTTGTAAAGAAAAAAAAGTAAATATCATTGGTACTAAATATAAGTTATTATACATTTATTATATTATGTATAAAGTGGTATTTACAAAGACAAACATTAGCGTTAAAACAGCGAAACTATGTGAGCATTATTTATTTTGTTTTTAAAGAAAAAGGTTACTTCTTTTGAGTTTATTGAATTAAAATTTTACTAATCTACTACATTGTATTAAAAAAAAATCTTCATAGACTATAACCTTACCAAACAACAGATTCCAAGATATTCCCTGAGAAGCCTAAGTAAAAGGATATAAAGTTTTATGAATGCCAATTTGCTTTAAGCTATTAACCACAATTATAAAAGCAAGTGTCTCTATTTAAGTTTATTAATATTTTCATTTTTAGTTATACATTACAAAAGCATATGAAGTATTTTGGAAGTTTCAGACACAAGGTAAAATCATGTGTTTCTATGTCCAGCCTATGTTTAGTCATCACCCTAAATGGATCCATTTACTTTTATTTATTTTTTTTAAACAAATAATAGGAAAACTCGTCACAAATTGTAATTATTTCTGAATTATTTATGTATTAACTAAAATGTGTAAGTAAACACGATTCCTATAATTAATTCATACTTAAAATACGTTTGATCAATTTTTAGCTTTCATTTCGTATTCTGTTTAGCCTTCTAGCCTAGGAATATTAACAGAGAACAAATAAATAAATACTTACCAGCATATTGTTAATAGTCCTATAGTAAGGAAAACTGCTACTACTGTGACAGCTATTTTGATATCAATACAAAGTCCACCAGCTTGATCATTGATCGCCTTAGTTTCTGAAAATGATTTTTGGATTTAATTTGACCTTTTAAAACATTTTTTTTAAATTTTAATTTTCAAAACAAAATATTTCTATATAAGTATATCAGAATTAGACTTAAATGTATACAAGTCAAATAAAAAAATCTATATCTTTTCACAAAGAAATTGAGGGCAATTAAATGTACAAGAAATGTAAATGTTTTGTTATTCAAATTTTTGAACATATTATTTTTTATACATACATTATTTGCTTACTAAATAGTAAGAATTTAAAAACAAAATTTACTTTATGCAATTAAAATAATTCTTGACAGAAAGTCTTCTATAATTTATTGTTCATTTAAAAATAAATTGTGACATCTTTTTTTTAAAAAAACAATGTATAAATGAAAATTATTAACCAAAAAGGTTCCTTTTATTTTAAATACGAATGCTTGACGAATTGTAAGGTTTAGAAGCTTTGCTCTTTACAAAGACTTACGCTCTTTTAAAAACAGCTAAAAAAAAGGATATTTCTTATTTTCGCCTGCCCCAGCATCTTCCCCAGATTAAAATCCAATCTTTAGAAATGATTGTAATTAAAAATGAAGAGGTAAAGGTGTTTTTCGATACGTTTTCCCCATCACTAATCAGCCAAACACCCTCTCTAAACCCAGCTATGACGGAGCTGCCACACTGTTTCCACGACTCAGGCGCCCTTTTAGGGATGCACAAAGCACACATCGAACCGAGCTGGAGTGTCTCGGGTGTCAACAAACATATGCTAAAAGGTACATACAATATGAAAATGAGAGTAGAAAAAAAGTTTTTTTTTTATAAACAAAAAGTAGCAGAGGAACTCCTAAAGTCACGGGACGGTTCAGATTGAATGCTTACGATAAATCAATACATCGTGTATTGAATAGTACCTATTTTAACTAATAATAATATTTACTAAATTTTAGAAATGTTAATTTTATTTAACATAATAACAGTATTTAAGGGAAAAAGCAGCCTCTTACCACTTTTTATCCTATAAGACTCAGGGTTAAATCCACCATAAAAACTACAGACTCCATGTTTTATGGACACATCTATTTCATTTGTATTGTTAAGTGTTCCTTTGTAAACAACAATGTCCGATCCACTCGTAACTCTATCTCCACAGCTTACATTAAGCTCTATCAAACACGGTAAGATGAGACTTTGACAAACATAAACTATGTTTAATTCTGATCCTACTTTAAAGTCTTGAAATTTACTTGAAGCTATTTGACTGTTGACAATCATTATGCCCCTTGATTCTTTGGAACCTGTAACAATAAATATTTTCATAAATTACCTATCAATCGCATGTCTACCCTTCCATGCACGTATCTAGCCCTCCATTAGTCAGTCCGTACATTTGTCTAAACAACAAGTCTTCTCCCCCTGCCTCTCATATTTTTAATCTCTCTCTTTTTCTCTGTTTCTCTATCGTCCCTCTCTCACCCTCTCTATTTCTGTATGTGTATTTATATAAATTTATATACATTAATACGACGCTAACACTTCAACGATCATTCAAAATTACAAATTTTAATAGATAAATAATTATTTTTTACGATAAATAACTGTGAAGGAAAAAAAAAAGATAAAAGCAAGGTTGGGATTTTATTTGAACTTTTATAATTGCTTTAAGTAAATAAAAATAAGCTGAAAATGCATTCATTTACTTGCAATTTCAGGGAAAACTTGTTCATAACTAGTTATCTCTTCAAAATGTGATGTCATCAAGACTGCGCGTATCTTTGCTCCACTGTATTCTTTTGATGCCAACAATTTAATTTTGAAGTTAACACAATATTTCTCTATGTGAACGCATTCATCGGACTTATAACCCTGACAGTCTATGGGAAAGTCAGTTAACTGAAACAAATGATACATTTGGTGTAGCCATTTTAAAAGAATAATTAAAGAAATATGCTATAACTAGATTCAGGATCGTTAAAAAATATATTTTTGTATACATTTAAAAAGAGCGTAATTGGATTGCTGCTTCACACTTAGATATAAATCTCCAATTAGTGCTAAGAACTTCCTAAATATTTTTATTCTTTACAATGCATCTTTCCTCTTACGACAAATCAACATTTATTAACACATTTTCAGATCATCTGATTAAAATATTTATTTTAAAGGAAAGTGTAATGTGTTTAACAAGTTTATAAATCAAATTCAAAGAGAGGTCCGCTGGGACGAGCATATCAACAATGTATGTAACCAAGCAAACCAAGCCTTGGGGTTCTTAAAGCGAAATCTAAAGATTGGCAACTCCTGTGTGAAAGAAAGAGCATATAAAGCCTTTATCCGTCCGATTTTAGATTATGCATCTTCAGTCTGGGACCCATTTACCCAGAAGAGCATTGACAGGTTGGAGGCGGTCCAGCGACGAGCAGCACGTTTTGTCCTAAGCCGCTACAGGAATACCTTTAGTGTTGGCAGCATGCTAGAAACACTAGGCTGGTCACCATTGGAGAAACGACGACGACAATCCAGGCTCTCCATGATGTACAAGATAAATAATGGGCTGGTCCACTGTTCCAGTATTAAACAGAAACTCGTCCCTCTCCCCCATAGACAGCGACGAGGCCATGACAGGCAATTCAGGCTCATACCAGCAAGAAGCCAGTATAGGAGCTGCTCATTCCTGCCCAAGACAATCAGGGACTGGAACCATCTTTCAAAAGGAACAGTTGAGGCGACAACACTAGACACATTTGTGTCTATTGCCTCAAGCCTTCAAACCCCTAGTGCATAATTTCCTCATCACCACCAGTAACAGAAACATTGCAAATCCCATCTACATGCATAGGAGCCAAAATGATCAATAAATTGATCGTGAGCCCTTAAGATATAGAAGAAGAAGAAGAAGAAGAAGAAATAATAACAATTTTAAATAGGAAACGACAAAAAAAGTAAATAAATATGAAACGACAATAAATAAAATAAACATCTATAAATTTGAAACGAAAACACTTTTTAAAAAAATATATATATATATATAAAACGACAAAAATTATTAAAAAAAACAATACCTCGCATTTTCTTTCCTTTTTTGTTTTACAAAAACATTTAGCATATACATCAAGTATTTTAAGATGTCCCCGTTTTAGAAGTTTAAAAAACATAAATAAATACATGATTTTTCAAGTTATTTATAGTTCAGTTATTCCATTCATTTTTTTTAAACCTATGCACACAGACTAACTAAAGATAAAAAATATATTTTTATTTTTTACTTACAGTGATAAATTTATGGTCAGATTTGATCTTTATTTGAAAATAAAATAAAGTCACATTCGGATCCATAGTGTAGTTAACTTGAACTTTAAATACAGCAGTGTCCAATCCACTTATCAGACCTCTGCTACAATTTGAAATACTGTCCTGTTGGCTGTATTCGTACAAAATTATTTTTGGCCCATTTGCTTCATCCGCTAAAGTAGCTAAAAAAATACAAATTTAAAAAAACAAAACTGTAGATTTTTAGAAAATCTCTAGAGTTACACTTCAAAATCGTTAATAATTATGCCCGAAAATACTTTATTATATTTTCTATTATGTATCCCGTTTACAACTGCTTACAGTTTGTGTTAAATGTAAGTTAATTAATATCTTTTTTTTTAAAATTAACTTTAAACATCTGTGTATGTTTTATAGTCATAACAACTGTAAAGTGTAACCAAAGAAGCGCAAAGTAAACGTTTGCCTTAAAAATAGGAATTAAAAAAAAATAAAAAATTATTAAGCAATATTATAATCGTGCATAAAACAAATGTTAATAAAAACTAAAAAAGAAACACTTTAGTTGATGATAAAAAAACTTAACAAATGTTGCAATGTTAATTTACATACATATATATTGTAAAATCCTGATGAAACGCAAAAAGTTAATGCGCTAAGAAATTGACTTGACGATTTGTTTTCGTAAAATTTTATGAAAAGAGGTTTAAAAAATATCACCTCATAAAAAAAAAAAAAAAAAAAAAAAAAAAAAAAAAAAAAATTTAAACAAAAAAAAAAAAAATAAAAAAAAAAAAAATAAAAAAAAAANCACTTAAAAAAATATATATTAAAAAAAAATGTTTTATAAATTGGTAAAGGTAAATGTATTAATTTCTTAAAATTCATGATTTATTTCATTGGTTTTTGTGTCATGATAACGATATATATACTACAATCCAGTTTTTATAATGGTAGGAAATGGCCGTTGAATTTAACGTACGCCAAAAATCTTATAATTCTTGAAAGCAAAAAAAAAAACGGTCGGTTGTAATCAAAAAATAGGAAAAAAAAAAAAAAAAAACAATAGCACGCGCACACACATAAACAAATGTATTTTTTGACACGAAGGAATGAGTTTACAAAATATTTTTAAACATAAAATATATTAAATAACTACACTTGTTTACCATTATAAGTTTCTTACCATGACAAAATATCACAACAACAACTATGTGAGAGATCCTTGAAGTACTCATTTTCCTCATGGATCTAACGATATTGATACAGGCTGAAAGTTCGATATAAAAAGGAATTTTTAATTTTTAAAAAAATTAAAATATGTCTTCCTAATTGCTGCGATCACTCACTCTAAAGTTAAAACCTACTGTGATGACTTCTACGATGTTATCGATGAAAACATTGTGTAACTTCATTACAATGAAATAATAGTTTGTTCATCACATAATATGATGACAAGACCAAAGAAATAGACATATATGTATATATATATTTACATGGATTAAATATTTTGGTATTTTTAAAAAGATCTCGTCAGGATTTCACAGGTCAAAAACTTTGGAAATCATTGGTTGGTCAACCGTACGGTTCAATTCAATGCCTCTTTTTAAGTCAGTGTTTCGCAGTAACATAGCTACTGCACCAAATATCAAGTCAAGTGTACGAGGAGGCAAATTTCCAAATGGTAAGCTGTACAACAAATCAATAGGATAGCTTAGTGCCTCCTCTAAAAATTCAGTGTTTTCCAAAAATAATATATGCTGATATGGAATGTCAATTCATTTTGAAGGAAATCTTTATTTATTTATTTATTTATTTAGGCATTTTTTATATAGCGCTTACCTTAAAGCTCGAAGCGCTTTACAATTATTAAAAACATGTAAACTAAGTAAAAAAAAAATGAGACACTAGGATAGTAACTACTATACTATAGAAACAATTATTAAGTTCAAATAACTCGTAATTTTTGTAGTTCGATTTCAACGACTACCATTGTTGTCATTGCTTGATTGAATCACCTTAGGAAAGGCAGCATCAACAATGGATATTTGCAAAACAGAGTATAGGAATTTCGAAAATGCCATGCTCGTAGAATTTTACACTTCCAAGTATTGAATGCCATTTGAAAAAGCATCGGTAATTTATAGGGCATTGTTTTAAATGGCCCCCATGTTTTGGTCTAGCCCAAACACATTAATATACTTCCAACGATTAGTGTTCTTCATGCATGAAGATTGAATTTATGTTCTGCTGCCACGTCGAACAACATGTTGAACGTAGCTTAAATCGCAACATAAAAGAAAATACGCGTGGTCAAAATTTTGTTCTTAAAAGAAAATTTAGATCTTCGTCTAAGATTGCCTTATACATTTTCACAACAGCATTTACTCCATGTGCATTTATCATTGAATCTTTATTCCAGATTATCACTTTCGGTATTTTAATAGTTCATTTGAAGTGTAAGTCCCATGTCGAACATTACATGTTGAATGGGAAGCTACAAATGATTTTGGAAAGACGTTCAGTCTCCCTTTGATAAAATTGATGTTACACTTGTAAAACAGAATTGCAAGAATAATCATACATGTTTAGCAGTTTTAATTTTCTTCCCCTATTTTGTCAAAAGCCTTTCTTTGCCCTAGGTCAGGGTTCTAAAATTAAAATCATCCTGGGGCCGCAGAAAGTAAAGGCTAAGTAAGACAAGGCGGAATCAAATATTAAACAAAAGGAAGATTACAAAGTCAATAAATTAAAACTGTTACCACCTGCTAAATACCACCTAAAAAGAAATAAAAACATCAATGGTTCTTAGGATCCAGGCTTCACTTTATTCTTCATACTCCCTCTTGCCAGAGACCTGGCAGCGCTTCTTTTTACACAATTGAGTTATATTTGGCTTCAGTCAGTAAGAAATTGACAATATCAGTAAAGCTCGTGCTTATCAGTAAAATTGGCACTGAACCTTGACTATAAAATTGCATCGTGGAAAGTGCTTTTCAGAAGAGATAATTACTCCCAAAAAGACACAAGATTCGCCTGAAAAACATGGATATCTCAGTGAAGGTTTAGGTCAGTTCTCACATAAATTGTCCATACTTGTTTATTATTCCAATCATCTCCCAGAACCTTAGCCTTGAGTTAAGAACTGCACTGAAGATCACAAAGCTCCATTTAAAGCGCTACAAAAATGTGGGTGGGGGTAGGTTAAACATTGAAGAAAGAAAAGTTAAGCAAAAATTTGAAAGGTGTCTCGGTGTGTTTTGAAGTCTGCAACATGTGATCAAACTCGTGCTGTAGCTTTTCAATTGCTTCAGTATAGGTGCATTATAGATACGAAAATGAAATTAAGGCGTGGGCTGCATGAACACTAAAATTTGCAGTTAGGTTTGGTTCATAACATATCGTCTTGCAAGCTGCAAATGGCTTGCTGTTCGCGAGTTTGAGACCCTTGCCCTAGGTGGATCTTTGGAAACGTTTCTCAGAATTATTTTTTAAAAAAATAGGCAACTCGAATGTAATATTTTTCAGAACGGATTGGATCATCATAATTTCTGTCTGGGAGATCTGGTTCAAAATCTGCTAATGACTTTTGATTATTTTCAGGGAAATTTATCTTAGTGCCATATTGAGAACTTCATCTACACCCGTAGAGAGTCTGTCTTATTCCTCCTATGGATGTTCATATCTATGAAAAGTAATGCTGCTGCATCAAACAGCTATACATGTTAAACATAACAACAAACAACTGCCTTAGTTGTACTGGCATTTCATGGGTTTCACCTTCTCTTTGGCTAATACCTTAGTTTAAGTAAGTCATCATCAGTTAATCCCTTGAAATGCGTGCTTCTTGGAAAGTTGCACGTGGGACAGAATTTCATTCGACTGATCTGAGGTCATCGACGCTGTTGCTCATTCTAATCTTCAGAATAATAAATGGGATTAAACATTTTTCTCTACTCATGGCACTTACAGTAAACAGTCTGCCAAATGCAATTTCCCTAAAACTTAAAAAAAAATATTAAAAAAAATTAATTGATTGTCAATTAACGTATTGTGTTAAGAAAACTCAGTATATAGATACTCTGATGAATTGTGGTATTCCTGATTAAGTTTAATCAAGACAAAAATTTGAACTTATAGGATATTTGCTGCAAGCTCCAGCTTAATTGCCTGGTATAAGCATATCGCATGACCCTCATCAAGTTGACATTTAATAATTTCACAACAGTTTGGTGGTTTATTTTTATTACCTAGACCCAAAGTATGTATTCGATCACATTATCTTGCGAGGGATATTCTGCACTATTAAAAAACGTGTCATAAATATCACCCGTGCTAGAGGTTGTTGTGTGTACATTATTTATTTTTTCTCTTAAGAATAAAATTCTAGATTTAATTGACTTTTTGACGACTTGCTTTTAGAATGTCGACTTATTCAAATTGGGGCATCTCAAACCCAGTAAACGTCACTAATACAATATACATTTATACACAAATAATATATACATAAAAATAATCCCTAAAAATATACTTACCAATGAGAAACACACTACCTAGGGGTTAAATAAACATAAGCCAGATAGATAGATAGATAGATAGATAGATAGATAGATAGATAGATAGATAGATAGATAGATAGATAGATAGATAGATAGACAGATAGACAGATAGACAGATAGACAGATAGACAAATAGACCGACAGATAGACAGATAAACAGATAGACAGATAGACAGATAGACAGATAGACAGATAGACAGATAGACAGATAGACCGACAGATAGACAGATAAACAGATAGACAGATAGACAGATAGACAGATAGATAGATAGACAGATAGACAGATAGACAGATAGACAGATAGACATATAGACAGATAGACATATAGACAGATACATAGATAGATAGATAGATAGATAGATAGATAGATAGATAGATAGATAGATAGATAGATAGATAGATAGATAGAGAGATAGATAGATAGATAGATAGATAGATAGATAGATAGATAGATAGTAAGATAGATAGATAGATAGATAGATAGATAGATAGATAGATAGATAGATAGATAGATAGATAGATAGATAGATAGATAGATAGATAGATAGATAGATAGA